CATTTTTTGCTGCAGCTCCCAGGAAGCAGTTGGAAGTTCAGTGCCTTGCTCAAGGGTCTTACCACAGACGTGGTATTGAAGGTGGAAGAAAGCACTGTAACTTGAAATGGAGGGGTTCGTTGGTGTATTAATTTTGGCGGTGTGAAACACAGTAGGCAGTTTGTAAGGACTGAACGAGATGGTTTCTTATTTGAAGAGAAGCACTCAATGGAGTTGGTTGATGTTTGATTTACTGAAGACTTTGTATACCCACAGGTACATCTCAAAAAATTAGAATATTATGAAAAAGGTCAATATTTTTTGTCACATTTCAGAAAGTGAAACCCATATATTATATAGATTCATTACACAGAGTGTACCTTTATTTCTTGAAATTTTGATGATTATGGCTTACAGATAATGAAAACCCAAAATTCAGTCTCAGAAAATTAGAATATTACATAAAAACAATAAAAAAGGATATTTTAAACAGAAATGCCAGACTTCTGAAAAGTATGTTCATTTCTATGCAATCAATACTTGGTTGGGCCTCCTTTTGCATGAATTACTGCATCAATGTGGCGTGGCATGAAGGCAATCAGCCTGTGGCACTGCTCAGGTGTAATGGAAGCCCAGGTTGCTTTGATAGCGGCCTTCAGGTCATCTGCATTGTTGGGTCTGGTGTCTCTCATCTTCCTCTTGACAATACCCCATAGATTCTTTATGGGGGTCAGGTCAGGCGAGTATGCTGGCCAATCAAGCACAGTAACACCATGGTCATTGAACCAGCTTTTGGTACCTTTGGCAGTGTGGGCAGGTGCCAAGTCCTGCTGGAAAATGAAATCAGCATCTCCATAAAGCTTGTCAGCAGAAGGAAGCATGAAGTGCTCTAAAATTTCCTGGTAGATGGCTGCGTTGACTGTGGACTTCAGAAAACACAGTGGACCAACACCAGCAGATGACATGGCAGCCCAAAACATCACTGACTGTGGAAACTTCACACTGGACTTCAAGCAACATGGTTTCTGTGCCTCTCCACTCTTCCTCCAGACTCTGGGACCTTGATTTCCAAATGAAATGCAAAATTTACTTTCATCTGAAAAGAGTAAGACGCTTCTGACGTTGTCTCTGGTTCAGGAGTGGCTTGACACGAGGAATGCGACATTTGTAGCCCATGTCTAGGATTTGTCTGTGCGTAGTGGCTCTTGATGTGCTGACGCCAGCCTTAGTCCACTCCTTGTGAAGCTCCCCCAAATTCTTGAATGGATTTTGCCTGACAATTCTCTCAAGGCTGCGGTTATCCCTTTTGCTGGTGCACCTTTTCCTACCTCACTTTTTCCTTTCACTCCGCTTTCTATGAATATGCTTGGATACAGCACTCTGTGAACAACCAGCTTCTTTAGCAATGAACTTTTGTGGCTTACCCTCCTTGTGGAGGGTGTCAATGACGGTCTTCTGGACAGTCAGCAGTCTTCCCCATGATTGTGTAGCCTATTGACCCAGACTGAGAGACCATTTAAAAGCTCAGGAAACCTTTGCAGGTGTTTTGAGGTAATTAGCTGATTAGGACGTGACATCATGACTTTCCAATATTGAACTTTCACAATATTCTAATTTTCTGAGACACTGAATTTCGGGTTCCCTTTCAGTCAGTCTTGACGCAGAAACGTATCTTTCAATGCGTCCGTCCTTTCAATTGGTTCGCAGCAATCGACCTCAGGGTCGACTGGGAGAAGAGTAACTCTCCCCGGTGCAGAGGATCTCTTTTCTCGGCATGGAGCCGGACTCGGTCAACCTCTCGGCACGTCTCTCAGGAGAAGGTGCACAGTCGATGCTGAACTGCCTATGGTCCTTCCAGTGCAAGACGGCAGTTCCACTGAAATAGTTTCAGAGGCTCCTGGGGCATATGGCATCCGCAGCCGCTGTCACGCCGCTCGGGTTGCTTCATATGAGACCGCTTCAGCGTTGGCTTCACGACCGGGCCCACTGGTTAGTGGAGGCTATAGTCTTGGCATACCAGGCCCAACATTTACCGTGCCCCCTCGGAGTGAGAGTTCACTCTATGAGAGGAGTGGCATATTCTTGGGCATTGGCGCGGGGCGCCTCGATAGCAGACATCTGTAGAGCTGCCGGCTGGGCGATGCCTAACACGTTTGCGAGATTCTATAATCTCCGTGTAGAGCCCGTGTCCTCTCGTGTACTCGCCTCAGGTAGGCAGTAACACCAGACCTGCTCAGTGTCGATCACGCTTGCTGCGCCATTCCCCTCTACGGACCGGATACGTGCGCTTTTGTGCTCCTCAATCAGTTCCCCATGGCGAACCCTGGTGGAGTTCCTCCCGCACCCTCGGCGGTCAGGCATGGCGGAGCGCCAGACGCCAGGCTCAGCACTCGTGTGCATGCCCAAGGTCAGCCCTTGTGCTGGGCTAGGTGCCTGTGTGTAGTAATTCCCCCTTCGGGTGATCCCACCCGAGCTGTATGTCAACCACGTGAGCACAGTGGTAGAGTCAGATCAGAGCGTAGTGGAGTGGATGGGAATTGTAAGCTCTGTGATCAGAAGCTGGGATAGCTGCGCTCCATTGAGGGCGGCACACAACTCTAGGCGTAGTATGGATTGTTGCTTGCGAGGGGCAACGCGGGACCTGGCGGCGATGAAGGCAACTTTGACTTGACCCTCTTTGGGCTCTATCCGCAGGTAGGCCACTGAACCGTATGTGAACAGATGTGAAGAAACACTGGAGTGTGTTGATCTCACGACGAACCTCATGAGTAGGACCTTGAAGAGTCCATCCGAGGCGGGTTTTGACTGCAGCTGGTTCAACAGGCGTGATGAGATGTGGGCAATCTGACCCGATCAGCAACACAGGCTGCACTTTATCCATCTGCTGCAGTGGGAGGCCAGCTAGATGTCTGTATCTCTTCTGTAAGGAAACTACTGGATAGGTGTGTTCGGCGAGGCCTAGTCTCTCAACTGTAAACGCATGCTGAATGCGGTATTTCTTGTGGGGATGAGACACGTGATACTGTGAAGGAGACAGCCACCCCATGAAGCACCTGCTGATCTTGTCTCACTGTGCGCAGGATCAGATCTTCTGGCTGCCCCTTGAGGTTCAGTTGCTGAGCTGCGGCATGGAGGAGAATAGTCCTTTCTGACCCGTCATCCAGCACTGCATACGTTTCCAATGATGCATCCCCATTTGCAATGATGACTTTAATAACTTTCAAGAGGACTCTGCGGCTGCCGACAGACCGGTTTGCATACAAGATGCCTTTCGTGGTACTCACAAGACACGAGTTCTCCTTGGGATCAGTCTCAGCATTGGTATTCACAGCTCGCTCATTCAGGTCGTGCAATATAAGCAGGTGTTTCCTGTTGCAGGTCTTGCACAGAGCCTTCAGTGTGCATCTGGAAGCATGATGATTGCGGCCACACCGCCAACACCTGTTGTTCTTGCGGATCCATGGCTCTTTCTGTTCTTTAGTCAGCTCCTTGAAGTTGGGGCATCCATTAAGGAAGTGATTAGCATTGTCACAATAAGGACAGTAGGTACGTGACTTCTCTCTGTACCTGACTGAGCTGGGTCTGGACTCTGGAGCGGGCGCTCTGCATTCACAGTCAGCAGTGGGCTTCTCAGCACCCAGCAGGATGCTCATAGATCTGCCTGGATGCTTGGCGTCATGATGACCTTCTCTTTTCCTTGTAGGTAAGGGTGGAGCATACATGACTGATTTGGCAGTGTCATCTTGGACCTGAAGCTCGTACTCTAACTAGTCCGCAAAGTCGAGAAGTGTAGGAACTATGGTCCTAGACGGGTGAACGTATCTCTTAAAGCTGATCTGGAGCTTGTGTGGGAGCTTGCCTTGGAGTCTGGACACATGTGAACCGCACTCTAATTCAGCTACTCCCTCTGAACCCAACTGCTCCAACATACTCACTAATGAGCGCACTCGAAGGGCGAAGAGCTTGAATGCATTCACATCACCTGGCTTGAGATTGGGACCTTCCAGTACTTCAGCGATACTCTGCAGGACAAGCTTGTGTGGCTGACCATACATCTTCACAAGAGCTTGCATCGTGTCTGTATATGGTCTCACTGACTTACAGTAGGAGTCTGCCACTAGCAAGGCCTCTTCTAGCTCCAGATGATCAGTCAGAATCTGATACTTGAAGCGCTCACTCGCATCTGCTGGCAGAAGGTTCTCTAGTGCCATCCGTAGTACGGAAAACTGTCTGGGGTCAGCTGCTGTCAGCCTGGGGATAGTAGGCTTAGGTCCTCGCTATATCAGTTCTTGGACGTGCAGCATCTCCATTCTAGGCACCACTTGTGGACATGAGGGAAGACTGAATTACCTCTCTCTCTTTCTGAAGATGACTGTGTCTGGAATCAGGCGTCACAGTGTCGTACTGTCCTGCTCCTGCAGGCTGGGTTGAGTAGGTATATGACCTCTGAATTGGTGCGTGATGACTCTCATCAGCATGTGGCGTCCTAGGTGAAATTGTAAGGTCCTCCATATGTCTCGTCAGCTGCTCGCAATGGGCCGGTCGGGGTGGAGGAACTTCATCAGCATACACTGCAGAACTTCTCCAACTAAAGACGGGTGGTGTCAAGTTGAGTATGAGGGGCTGGTACAGGTGACACTGATTGACGAGGAATCTCAACGCTGGTGCTAAACTGCTGGATCTCCTTCTTCAGTGAAGCGTTCTCCACCTTGAGCCCTTGCAGCGTAGACAGGATCTCTGGTAGAACGTGGCTGCGAAGCTCATCGTTGTCCCTCTTCATCTCGAACCACAGACTTTATATAAGACAACTGCTGGACTTGAAGGTGGCACTAACCATGCTCTGGCGACACATCTCCAAATGGCTCTGGCCATACATCTCTGAGAACTAGATCATCTGCACAGGGCCGGATTTACCTCTTTTCGTGACATAGGAAAAACGTATTTTTTTAGTATTAATATACTGTAATAGGCCTAATATTACCACCCAAGCAAACAAAAATATTTCTTAATAAGTGGAAACAGTTACAGTTATTTATTTGATCTGTATTTTTACATTTTACCTAATCCAATATAACTTCTTAAATATATTTGGTTAGGTTTGTGAAAATCTAAAGTATGCCTATAGTAGATAAGCATCAGGAGTGACAAATCCATATGGATGCAGGAATACAACTGCAATTAATTCCAGTGTTTATGTGATCTGTTTTTAGTACACAAGCGCACACTTGTTTAAAACAATCACAAAGTATTTCAGGGTAGTTTTTCTTCACATGGCCTGAATTTTCAAATGTAGTAAAACTGAATAATTTAAATGTATACGGGGCAAATAAAAGAGAGTAAAATGTCAATCTCGTTTTTGATGATTACAGGGCCTGGATGAATGTTCTCTTCGCTGTAGTGACAGGCCGTCATTTGCCACACATCCAGAATATAAACACCAACATCCTGAAAAGCCCAACGCAGAATTCTGTCCAACTGTAGAGAATACCAATCACTCCCGAAAATATCCTATTAAAAAGACAGAGAAATGCAACATCAACCCTAAACTTGCCATCACAGTGTGGCCTCCTTGTATTTAAACACATGATACTGTATAGCAGGTGTCCTTAATTCTGGACCTCGAGATCCAATTTTCTGCAAAGTTTAGTTCCAACTCTAATCAAACACACCTGAACTGGCTAATCAAAGTCTTGAGGATTTCTACAAAGTTGCAGGTTGGTGTGTTTAATTCAGGTTAGAGCTAATCTCTGCAGGAAAGTGGATCTCGAGGTCCAGAGTTGTGGACCCCTGCTGCATAGGCTTACCTTATAGCCAGTGTTGACAGTCTTGATTATAACGGTAGTGTCAGGCGCCCTCTGTAACAATGCTAGAATAGCTTTGCGGATCCTCAGCACTCTATGGGTGTAGAAATCCAGAGGGTACGTGGTGAAATGGGGCCCCATATTAAACATAATGACCATGTGGGGTCCTCCAGCCAGGCCATCGATCTCATTACTGATGTAGTGCAGATTAGCAACTGCTGATTTTTGACTGCGCAGAGGAACGCCATGAGCCCTCCAGTGTAAGTCAATGTTGTTCTTCACATCCACTGCTAGGAGCGGCCCTGCCTGATATTGGACATGCAGGTTCATCTGTTTCAGGGCTGATCTATTTATCTTACTTGGTACTGCTTTCACAAAGAACTCAAACCACTGTCTGATAGTAGAGTCTCCCATCATGTAAATGTGTTTGTCTTTCAGGCACTCTGTTGTCGTTTGGGTTGTAAAATGTTGGGTACTACAGACAAAGGACGTCCACACATCATTGAGGTAAAAGCCGGCTGGAACTGGAGTGTGTAAACCAGGATGACATTTCTCTGCTACATCTGCAGAATGAGTAAAGGGAAACAGTATGTAGTGTAACAAAGTTATGAGTTTGCCCAAAATTTATCTAAACTGGTTATTTTGACTGACATATTGTCTAAGTGTCAGTACATTTTATTCCTCTTTTTTTTTTGTGCAACACATTTCCCAGCATCTCTGTGCTGTACTATTCCTCTGACCAACATACCAATAGTTTCATTTCCATGGGAATGAACAATTTTGATGATGCTCTTATCTCCATTGATATCTTTATTAGTTTGCTTCCTGTCAAAGAGAACATTTGTCTGTCATACTGCCTTCTATCAATGCATAAAATAAATCAATTATAAAGTCAATCAAGAATCATTTATTCTCACATAAGCTTCTTCTCTTTATTAGTCAGACGGTTTCTATAACCGCCCATAGAGTGGTACACAAGGGCACTGCATGGCATTGACTTGGGTCTCTGGCAGCGCCATGTTTCTTCGGTACGGGGATCTTTGTATTCACAGCAACAGTCTCCAGTTCCCATATGCTCTAGTCCATTCTTGTCCCACTTAACATTACACATCACTGCTTCACTCAGCCTGGTCTTATTTGGTCCTGGTCCCTCATAATATCCATGAAAGTACACCCTGTCAGAGTCAGTATCTCTGTGACGCTTGAGGACCTGCACAGCCTCACTGGAGTGAATTAGACGCACAGCCACCTGGGCCTCGCCGACCCACGGCAGGAGGAAACGCACAGAGTAGGAGCCGTTGAGCAGGTCCACCACCTCCCCAAACACACTGGCCTGTGACAGAGGAACATTCTCAGTACAACTCTCTCCGTCTGACCCTGGTACAGTACAACAGCTAATTAGTTCTAGTAAAATAATGTGTTCAATCACTCACCTTAGTTTTAGACCAGAACAGCTTGGCTTGAAAAAAGTCACCTCCATAACTCTTAGATTTATTATCAAAGTCATTTGCGTGCACCGTAACAAAAAGCTCCTCACCAGTTTGGTAGCTCTCTTTCAGGTTCTCAATGATGAATGTGGTGTGGGCTGGACTAGTACTCATGGACACATTTGTGATCGATCTGTCAGGATCTGCCCAGTAAACAGCCTGCTGTAACCTGGAGTAGCCATCTAAACTGATTCCAAATTCAGAGTAAAAAGAGTTTATTAATGACTGAGACTTTTCTGAGACTTCTGAATTGATTCCTGCAGGAGAGCCGGAGTTTGCAGAGTTCTGGAGTCCTGCACAGTGCTGAGACAAAAAGCTGGGTGAAGGGTGTTTCTTTCTTTCATTTCCCATATAAGACCATATAACCTACAAATATACAATAGTCCATTATTATTTTTTTTACTAATTTTACTGTTATTAAACATCCAATCTACATTTGATTCTAAATCAAATTTACATAGGGCATTTTATAGGGAATCTATTGTAGTTTTGTTTTTTTTGACAAAGACCTTCAGACATTTATACACTTCAAACATAGTTATGTAATCATTCAAAGACCTGCATGCCCTGCTTATTTATCATGGCCCACTTAACATCAGAGCTATAGAATGAGTACAATGCATAATTAATACCAAGCAAATTGTAAAGGATCTCAGACAAACAAATAATTTGGCCTAAAGATGTGTGTACCAGGAAAATACAAAGGACCAAAATGCCAGTAAATTTGATTCAGAAAACAGCTAACAGCAGCCATAAATAGATATTTTCATGAACTCACCAGCAAACACGTGACTACCAGTAGAAAAAGCCCAGTAAAAAGCTTCCTTAACCACGATCTTTCCCTGTGAACTGTAAAAGCAATCTTACCAAATAGCATGTTACCACAGTTTTATTGATTTTTTTTTATTTTTTAGTGTGAGACCATTCATTTTTAAAACAGCTTGGACCAACTTAAATTTTTTTTAGTTTTTCTAAAATTATATTTTTGGTTTGGTTCAAATCCTAAATATTAATCAATGTTTTGTTTTGTTTTTGTTTTTTTCTCCAAAGACAAAACATTTATACAAAGTAAAAAGGTGATTTATTGTAAAGACCATATCACTGTTTAAAAAAATGTTGGATTTACATTATTTCAGTCAGTACAGCTAGCCAGTATGTGTTCTGCACATCAACACTCTGGTGTCAAGTGAAAATACTATTTAAACAAAAATTTTTTTTTTATAATTTATACTATGGGTAGTTATTTGCTTTTATCCAAACTGAACAAAACAGGGTTAAACCTGTATAATCCACTGAGAATTTAACCGCAATTCTGTCCCTATAGCCTAATATTTCTCATCTCAGCGATTGTTTTGTATTAGCCTACCTACTTACCAGAGGAAAGACATGCTCTTCTGTCATTTCAATTTTATTCACTCTTTCCATTTTTGTTTACTCTTTAACTCATTTTACATTTTGTAACAACTAAGCTAGCAAATGTTTCTATTCATTTCCTATGCATATTGGCTGATGCGTCATCATTCTGCACATGCTAGACGTACTAAATATGCTAAACTAAATATGTTAAACTAAATATCTAAATATGTTACGGTTTAAAAGCAAATGTTCTTATGCACTAGTCTTGCACTATTTATTTATAAGTAGGCTTTATTATTATGTTCTGTGCATTAAAGTGTTTAGTAAACAAATTAAATGCAATGAAGTATTCAGAAATAACTTACAGTGTTGTTCCCGAGTTTTAGAGTCCGATTTTTTTAAGGCATGTTTTTGAAAGCATGTCATTTCATCCATTTGGTGCTTTTTGTTTTTAATTCTGTGTGTATGCGTTTCAGCCTGTCTTCATACGTGTCGTTTTGTCTCCTGGGTTTTTTTGTGTTTTTCCCCCTGCAGTTGGTAGACCCACCTACTCTCTCTGGGGTTATATGGCTGTACTACTAATTCGACTACAACAAGCACTGGCTCATGAAATAATAGCTACAACTTTTCCACGAGAGGTATTATTGCCTCATCGGCTCTTCTAATGAATTAATTACCATTTTATTGGAGGAGATTTTTTGAAGTGATGAGAACAGTAAACGAAAATCAGAAGCGAATAATTTACAGTTAGTTTTGTTTTGAACCATTTATTTCATATTTATCAATAAAATCATTATAAGAATATAAATGCTATGCTAGTAAATTTGAGATGAAAACAGCGTCCTTAAAACCCAATCAGGGAAGAAAATAGATTTGCGAGCTTATATTGATTATTATATTGATCAAAATGATATATGATAAAGTTACTTGAATCTTGCTGTCTGACAACAGTCCCACCTGCCGGACGAAACTGGTAGCCTGCAACTGCCCAGTCAGCAAATTTCCTTTGGCGCGAATCTGGCCCATATCAACAGCTAAAGTGTGGCCCAGATTAGTTTGTGTTCTCCGGCCCAAAACTGGTCCACATCTTTTTAGCCAGAACTGAACCCAGAGTGAGCCAAATAATAAAAACAGATGTGGCTCATATATGGACCTTATATGGTATTCTTATATGGCTGAGTTCTGTAAAGGACTGATGGCCCTTTATGTGGCCCACATGTGGCTGATAAACCAAATGCCATTATTTAACCATATTTACACCACACCTATATATATTTTTTTATTTAAAATACCCATTACACAGTCAATCTTAAACACAAAAATGGATTCACAATCATTTTAAAAATGTTTATAGTAGAATTTTAATAACAGAATTACAATACAGAACATAACAGAAGTGTGCTGTTTTGCAAATGTCAGCTGAGTGAATAAATGTACAAAAATGTATACTTTTCGTAAGTCTCGCCAGTCTTTCTCACTCACAGTCTGTCAGGAAAAAGAAGAGAAAAAAGAACAGTAGTATATCATAATTAGTATCACACATTAGATATTATTTCAAGACAAGCACATAAATTAGTGTAAATCAGCACTGCACACATTCTTTTCTGTCACCCAAGACATGAGCGCCTTTTTAAATTAGGAAAATTTTAGCTACTTTAATAACAGGCTATTTTTAGACATAATACTTAATTATATACATAATATTAATGAAAACATTAGTAGTGTAATTGTACCTCCGTTTTGAAGTCACAGTTTCATGCATTTTTGGTACAGCAGGGGAAAAAACATACAATTGCTTGGTTTTTTTTTTTAAATAGTGGTTTACTGAACAATTTATGGCTCTGCCTTTAAATAAACTCAATTATAATTAAAATTTTCTTAAGGATAAAAAAATCTATCTTAGCTAATGCTGAATGACTTTACTGTATAACACGGAATGTCACGGAATTTGTCAAAGTTTGGATGAATTAATCAAAGGAAAATCAGTACACTTAAATCGTGATATGGACTAGTATCTGTAAATATTAAGCCGCAAAAAGGCTATTTAAATATAAATCCTGCATGTTCTGTGTCTGTCTGAATCATAGTCTATGGTCTGAATGAATGTCACACGGTTTTGTTTACTACTCACATACTGAAGCGCACATGAAGCTGGCATGATTTCAGCATCTGCCTTCTCACTAAATAGGACATAAATACATGAACAACATCCCCAGAACTGCTCTGAGAGTCAAAAATATAGTTTCTGCCAGAAATGTATTACTATTGTTCAGTAGAATGTACGTATACTACTAAAATTATTAAGGAATACTCACAATATTTCTTCCATGTTTTAATTTGAATTGTAAATCCCCTTTGTTTGCCAAAAAATAAAATTTGTTTAATTTTCATTAATTAAAAGATAAATTAAATTAATGTGTTATGCATTCATTCGATAACCAGAAAAATGAAAATACACAATAAACAAGGTGAAAAAATAGAGCATTTCATAAGACCCTAAACATGTAATTTTTGTTAAACTTTTTAATATATTTTATGCTGAATTGTATGCGTTTCATTATTTAATTAGACATGCTTTTGATTAATAAATTTTAATTTAACCATTTAAAAAGGAGTCCAGAAAAAAAAAAAAAGGAATTTGGGAAAAAATAAAACGTATTTCATAGGGCCCTAGCATAGTTATTTATTTATTGTGGTAATTTGAAAGTTGTTGTTCTAGTCTAGTAGATAAATAGCAGTATTCTGTACGTATTTACTAGTGTACAATAATTTTGAGCTTCTGGTAAGATACTTGGACATTTCCAATCTGGCAACATTGCCACTATTCCCTGCCCCTCCGGAGATCTGTGCACGCCACTGAATGCACGACACGTGCGATTCAGTTCCCAACCCAATGCATAATACTGAGATATTTCAGACTGATATGTCTAAGCAAAAGGGGCATTTTATTAATCACATTACTAAAATTAATACAGACACGTGGCATAAAATAATACATACAAGTGCTGTATTAGATTGTTGTTTTCATTTCTCGTTGCCTTTGCTCCAGACAGCTGCTTTCCCTGCTGTGTTCTGTTATGAACAAGATTTCCTGTAAATCACATGACTTCATGAGATCATGACCATGCTGTTTTTGCCAAGATTTCATTTCAAAGCCCAATTTTGTGAAGGTGGGTATAGCCCTTGTATTCGGAGTTAGTAGGTTAGCTGTCCTAATGGAATAAACACATAGCCTACGAACAAGTATAACAGCAAGATGATCTGTTCTCTGTTTTTTGTGGTTTTTGTTTTTCTTACAGTGGATGCACAGAGACCCACGTAAGTACTAGAATTATTGACTACATTTTACAAATTTTATTTTATTTAATTTTTTTGTTTGCTCATAACCCACATCTTGCATCGTGTTCTGTCCAATCAGTGTTTATGCAGTTATGCATGTGTATGCATTTATACCTTAGATGCCTAATTGTTGCTCCAAATATAATTCACGTGGGAGTGGAAGAGACTGTGAGTGTGCAGCTTCATGGAGCAACTAAAGGAACCAGTATGCAGCTATACTTTCAAGACCAGATCTTTCCAAATATTGTGTCCGAAAAGAAATCTATAATCCTTAATAAGGACAATAACTACCAGGCTGTGGTAAAACTTAAGGTATGTCTGTACAATTCATATTTTTAAAAGTTTTAAAGTGTGTTTCTCAACTTCCAGTGTCTTCTTACTCATGTACCATAGGTTGATCGCAGCTTGTATGGAAGTACAAAAGTGCAAGAGTATGTTCAGCTTGCAGCCACAAGCAATGATGTCTTTGGGGACAAAGACAGAAATACAAAAAAAGTCAGCATTTTTTTGTCAACAAAAAGAGGGTACATTTTCATCCAAACAGACAAGCCGATTTATAATCCAGGAGAAAATGGTATGATAATTAATTTTCTTATTTCTTATTAATATAATTTTTTCTTTTACTTTTGTTAAATCTGCATTACTTGCTTACTAGTATAAAAAATTGCCGCTCTTGTTTAGTTTCTCTTTATTCTCTGTTTCTCAGTCAAATACAGAATCTTCACACTAGACAACTTCATGATCCCCATAAAGGATGAAATCCATGTTCAAATAATTGTAAGTTGTTTTTGTCAATGAGGAAATGCAAATAATATTCACAATTACCTGGAATGAGCAGGCATTTTTTTTCTTTTTACAGAACTGCAAAGGCTTTATTGTTTACAATCATATTTTGATTTCTGACCAAATTTTGGAAAAAACTATCACTATACCAGGAGTAGAGCAGTAAGTTAACTGCGTGAGCACTAAATAAACACTAAACAAAGCTAACACTAAATAAAGTGTCTATGTATATAATTGATTAAAGCTTTGGTTGTTAATTTCACATGTACACATACAGTATATACTTATCATTCATTCTCATACAATAGACAACATTACAATGCCTTTTTAATGGATGCCATTTATATATTCTGTGTAATTTTATTAATCCTTCAGGGCAGGCAAATGGAAAATCATTGCGTCATATCATAAGTACCCTGAATCTACCACATCATTGGAGTTTGAGGTCAAGGAATACGGTGGGTGTTATTAAACTCCAGGTGCATCTACTCTAAGAATTCTTATTTACTTCACCTGTCACTTTAACCCTTAGAAATGGCATTTCATTCTTTATAGTTTTGCCCACATTTGAGGTTACCATTGAGGCTCCACAGCCTTACCATATTTTGAAGAGCAAGTCCTTTCCATTCAACATCTCTGCTAGGTACGTCTACTACTGTCACATGCTGATTGGGTTTGGTGTTGACTTCAGATTTTGCTATGTAACTCATCAGCTTTTGGTGTTCTCAGATATACTTATGAGAAGGGGGTCAACGGCATAGCATATATTCGATTTGGACTTATTGATGAAAAGGGTAATAAGATATATCTTCCAGGCACTGAAAAGCAGATAGCAGTAAGTAAATCATTTTGCATTGAAAAGAAGCTTAAATATTAGCCTAAACATATATTTATGATAATTAATTTTGTTTTGATTTATTTGATGTCTGTATTCTGCTGTTATGTAGGTAGAGGATGGTACTGCAAAAACAGAGGTACGCACTGAGGACTTAAAGACAGCATCAGAAAATAACACCCAATGCCATATAGAGGGATATTATCTTTATATTGCAGTCTCGGTTTTGGAAAAAGCAAGTAAGTCACAAACAAAAAGTAGACGTATGATTAGATCGGGAAATGCATGCAATCCAAAAAAAATTCTAGTTATATTTTAAAGATGAAATAATGTTTCATCTTATGCACTTATTTTATTCAATTAAAGTTACAATTTATCCCCAATTGGAAATGAAAATACATTTAATGATTGAAAATTAAATAACAAAGAATATTCATCCTTATTCTATGCAGGTGGCAATCTGGAAGAAGCTGAGAGCTCTTCTGTGAAGATTGTGACATCCCCATATGTTGTTGATCTGTCAAAAACCAAGACGTATTTCACCCCAGGTGGCGTGTTTTCTGTTTTGGTATGTGGCCCAAAGCATTTCTGAACTTAAATGTATTTGTTTTATACCTCTGAGTATCAATGACTGGAATTAAAATATATGTATGTTAGTGGCACATGGTTTTGTAATTTCTTTTCCT